CTGCTGCCTCCTTGATCACACTTTGCGCAGGGATGTCGGGGATGCGCTGTGGGCCTGTTCACCCCACTCTCTGCCGTCTCCAGACCTTGCCCACCCCTCACCCACCTACTCTTTACCCACTTGCAGGCTCTGGAATTGCAGTCCCTGAGAATTTATTGAGAGAAACTGCCCGGGGTTGTCTAACCCATTAATTTAAAAATTAAATTATCCGGGGTTGTGCAAGGAAGGAGATGCGTTTCTCTCCCACTTCACGGTCTGTAACTTTTCTTTACACTTGGCTTCCTTTTACTTCATCTCAACTGGGCTGCAGGTGGTAGGGAACGGATCTGTTAGACACCCGGGAAAGGGGGACGGCTGTTTGCTGACGCCCCTCGCCCGGTCCCCCAGGACCGACCATAGGCCACTGTCTCAGGAGGGAGAGTAAGGGCCAAAAGAGGCTTCTCGACACCACCGTCCCCACCCCCCCCCCCAAAAAAAAACAAGAAAAGGTGAACCAACCTCTGTTAGAGCATTTCAAACCTGACCTTGCTTTTCTTAGTGCGGAATTTGAATTTGTATGGGCGTGTCTTTAGAAGTTCTGGTAATGACATTGGAAAGAGGGGTGATCAGCGTTGTCAGTGAGAGGATTGTAGGTGGTGAAGGTTAAGGCGAGGAAAGGAAGGCTCAGGGCTCCTCTATGGCTGGAAGGATCCAGATCCCTGGAGATGATCCCTTTTTTGAAGTGAAAACAACCTTTTGGAACAGTGAAAGAACTGCTTGACTCAGTGTGTTGGAGCGGGGAAAGCCTTGGCTTTTAGGAATCTGCACCTGCTTCTGCCTGCCAGGTCCCGGCCTCGGGGAGCCTGTGGTCTTGTGCCTTAAGACCAGGCCTGTGCCCTTCACAGAGCTGTTGTTTGTGCCCCCACAGATGATGAGGGCCAGGGTGGTGGTCAGGAAGTGCTGACTGCTGTTGTCCTTGCTAGAGGTGGTAAGCACCTTTCTCTGTCAGTTTTAGAGGCAGTCTCTAAGGCTGGAGAGACTCATTTATCGAAGCCTCGTTTCTTTGATCGGGGATGACGTGATTGAGTAGGAGTCATGCAGTTCCTCCTTGAAGGTAGCCTTTACCTGGCACCGGCTCCTGGGCTGGGGTTTCCTCCTCGTGAATTAATGTCAGGAGAAACTCACAAAAGGATTGTTTCCAAAGATCATTTGCAAGTTGCTTATTTGGAATGTGGAACACATTTCCCCATAAAGCCGGTGTGGTCAGGTTACCATCTTGACCTACAAATTTTTTATTTAGCATCTGATTTAAACTAGCAATTTACTAATAGTAGGGCCTCACCTTGGCGTTCTGGGAACAGGACTTGCAGGACAGGTGGGGGGAGGAAGTTTCTGATCTTTCTTGGGCCTTGGGCATCTCTTCCAGTTCTGCTTCCTGCCTAGACCTCCTGGCACTTTGCCTTCGCTCAGAGGCTCCCGAGGCGGGCGCTCTTGCCCGCGGACCACTTGTTCCAGCACCTTCTGGTGCCTGTTCTCTTTACTCCATGCAGCTGATGTCAGGTAGGTTTGAGGAGGCCCGTGCTGGGACAAGTTTGGGCTCTGTTGGGAGGGACTGAAGTCCTTTTTCTCTATGGAGAGCTTGAATTTCTCAAGGGAGATGCTGACTCATATGACCACTCCAATAGTAGATTCAGGCCCACAACTCTCTGCCAGCTGGGGGCGAGGTATTTTGGAATTCAGAATTTTTCAGATTGCAGAAAGGAATGCCCTATAAGCAGAGTGCTTTCCCAGCAAAATACACATTCCCTAAGCTGGATACACAAAATCTGTAAATGTCCTCAGATCAGTTTAGGTTCAAGTTTTGCATCCAATGAGTTTGTGTCAAATTTACTTGGTGTTTGGGCCCTACCTGGTGGCACAGTGTGTTAAAGCGCAGCACTATGAAGCTGTCCGAGGCCACGGCAGCCTGACCTCTGTCCAGGCCAGGGAGCTGACCCACAGGGTGTGGCAGACCCCTCCTGTCTCCCACTGCTCTCCTCAGCAGTGTGTTTCAGAAGACCCGCCTGTTCTGCGCCCCACTCTGTCTCTGGTGAGTCCTCTCACCCCCTACATCTCTGGCCTGTACCCCAGTTCTTGTATGCATGCATAAATACATCTTTAAAAAACACAAAAACTTCAGGGTTTTTGGATCTTGGAATTATGGAAAGGAACTGGAGGTTCACAAAGTGAGGGGCTCCTGCGGAGTAGGAAAGGCATTTGGGCGAGAGAGGCCACTGCTCAGCAGTCAGCTTTGGGGTGAAGTGCTACATGGCTGAGAACAGGAGCTGCGCCCGGGCCTGTCCTGCGTCCTCCTGTCCCTCCTCTCCTTGGGCAGAACTCCAGAATCGCTCTCTTTTCTGCTTACAAAAGTAGCATATGATAGTTTTTGATAGACTGTGTGGCTTGGCCAGTGGGTCCTTTGTAAGCCCTAATTTCTAGAAGTGACTGTTGGTAACTCTGGTGTTTAATCCTTTGGAATTCTCCAGTGCATAGGCTAATAGGCCCACGTGTTGTTTATGCTTGTGTGTATTTTACGCACACATACGGTACAGTTATTTTCCCTCATTTATTAATGTCCTATTTTTGTTATGTTTGGTTCTTTTTCAAAGCTATGGAGACTTTCATTATATGGTCAGATGGTTATCTGCTGGGTAGTTTCTAATTTTTTGGATGTGAGCGTGCCTTTCATGCGTGTCTGTCTGTCCTGTGAGCTTGTCTGAGCCAGAGTTGAAGTGCCAGCTTAGGGGGACACCCAGTTCTTTCCTTCAAAGGCCAGTGCTGAGCCACTCTGCAGATTGTACCCAGGCCTCTCCCCACAAGCGTCCTGTTCTCCTCTTCGACCAGTGCCCTGTGGCTTCATCTGCCAGACTGAAGGGAAAAGCTTCTCAGCTAATTCACAAGCTCTTGCTTATTCGTGATAGCAAATTCTTTGAAAGGCTTCCTGGTTCTGGCCCTTCCTTCTTTGGGTTGCCTCTTCATGCCTAAAGGTCAGCCGGGCTTCATTTTTCTCACCAGTTGCCTGGTTGGGGAGCAGAAGGTGAGGGCCCCCCTGCAGAGTGGGGCACATCAGGGGCCATCGGGCTGGGGCCACTCGTCGTCCTTCTGTCAGGGACATGTCTGGTTACGCTGGTGACTGGTGTGGGGCTTTGTCTTGCAGTGTGTGATAGCGCGGGGTGGAGGGCGAGAGTTGGGGGAAGATTCTCTTTACCTATGGGCTTTTTCATTTTCTTTGTCAAGATTCTTCAGAGGATACCCCTCCCCCCACCCAGAACTTCATCATTCCGAAAAAGGAGATCCATACAGTTCCGGACATGGGCAAATGGAAGCGCTCTCAGGTACCGGCCTGCCGGAGTCAGATGGCCATGAGAAACGTGAACTTTCCAGACAGTGGTCCTCTGGCATGACGCGGGCTGTGAGCCCTGGCTTGTCTCGCTCTCGGAGCAGAGCTCTTAGAAGCAAGCGGGAGAGGTGACGGGCTGGCTGTCCCCACGCTCAGGGCAGCACTCAGAGACACTTTCTTGGGCAGGTCTCTGGGGGCTGGGGCCAGGTAACTCTGAGCGTTCTCTTCCTGGTGTTCAGAAACCATGGCCAGACATGTTGTATTGGCTGGATGTGAGCGTCCGAAGGCTGGAGGAGGCCACTTTGAATCTGGGTGGCAAGTAACAGCAAGCCTGGGAGCCAGTGAATCAAAGGGAGGGAGGTGACTGGGTGGGAGCCCCGGCAGGGAGCTGGCTGAGCTAAGTCCTGGGAACTGGGCCTCGGCTCCTGGGGCAGACAGTCCTCGTGGTGGCGGGCAGCTGACAACAGCCGCAGGCCGTGCAGAGGGTGGGGTGAAGAAGCCAGTTCCGAGCCCCCAGGGAAAACCTGGGTCCTGCCCCAGCGCCGTGTCTACACAAGGGCAGGCCCAGAGAGGCAGGCAGGCGCGGGAGGCTGCCTTTGAGGATGTGGGGCCTGAACCTCGTGGTTGCCACACCTTGTCCGTTGGGACTCGGGGCCATACAAGCCTACTTGGCCTCTCTTTCCAAGCTTGCCCTGTAAATATTGCAGACGCTCACTGTTCTGAGTCTTCTTCCAGGTAAACATCATGTCCCTTCCTTATTTTACAGGACACAGTTCAAACCTACTTATCATCTGGGTTGTTCTACTTCGGGGCTTGTCAACCTCCACATTGTTAATATTTGGGAACACATAATTTTTTTTTTAAAGACTTATTTAGTTATGCATAAAAAACTGGGGTACAGGCCAGAGGTGTAGGGAATGAAAGGATTCACCAGAGACAGAGTGGGGAGCAGAATAGGCAGATCTTCTGAAACACACTGCTGAGGGGAGCAGTGGGCGGAGTCAGGAGAGTCTGCCGCACCATGTGGGTCTCCTCCAGCTAGGGCCAGGGATCGAACTTACGCCGAAGCGGCTGTGGCTGGCTTGCAGTGCTGCGCTTTAACCCCTTGAGCCACCAGGGAGGACTGGGAACACATAATTTTTTTTTTAATAATGGTTTATTTTTGCATCATTGTGTGCATTTTTCCATCTCAGTTGCAATCCCCGTGGGCTTCCCGCCACCAAATCACTCATGTGCCATCACCACAGGTCAGTGTATTTCCCTCCCCCCACTGTTTTTGATCCCATTCCCCACTCTACCCCCACAAAATGTCTCTGGGGAACACATAAGTTTTAAAGAGCTGTTCTGGGCCCTCCCTGGTGGTGCAGCTGTGAAGCTGGCCGCACCCACTGCAGCACGAGTTTAATCCCAGGGAGTGACCCCCAGGGCGCAGCAGACTTTTCCTGACCCACCCACTGCTCCTCTCAGTAGTGTACCTTAGTCAGTCTGTCTGTTCTGCTCTCCACTCTGTCTCTGGCCAATCTTCCCACTGCCCCTGTATGCATACATAAATGAATCTTTAAAAAAAAAAAAAAAAAAAAAGAGCTGTCCTGGCCATCAGTATATTAAGAAACATCTAGGCTCTACTTGATGTCGGGAGCATTCCTCTCCCCCGGTTATCACAAACAGAAACGCCCTGGCACCGTTAGAGGTCCTTTTGGGGCCACATCACTGAGGAGCAGCCGCAGCTCCACCCTGAACCTGCAGTTTGTCTGAAGCCACATGTGACTTTAGTCCCCTGCAGTCCCGGGTGTTTTACAAGGCCGTTTGAGTGTACCAGGCACTCTTAGCTCGTGTGCTCCTCACTCAGACCCTGGCAGGCAGGGCCAGGATCGCTCTTGAAGGTGATAAAACCGAAATAGGAAGTGAAGCCGGTCAGCGAAGGGAGGCGAGCAGTGGCTGAGATAAGATTCACCCACAGCTCACGTGGCTCTTGAGCCACCGTGCTCCGGGCCACAGACCCTACTCTGACACCTTTGTTTGTATGTGAAGTTTTATTGGCACACAGCTGTGCTCTTTTGTTTCTCTCTTGTCGTGCTGCTTTCCTGCTACAAAGGTAGAATTGAGAATCTATGAATCAGACGACATGGCCTGAGAAACCTGCAGTACTTTCCCTCTGGCCCTGGGCTGGCAGCTTGCCAGCGCTGCTCCAGGCCCCATACTTTCCGAAAGTGCTGGCCATCTTTTCTTCTCGGGTGTTGCAGGGCGCGGACGGAGCCGTTCGCTTGCTCTGGAGGTCCTGGGCCCGCCACCAGGAGTTTCACTGGGCTGCGGGTGCTGCGCCTGGGGCACGTAAGCAGATGCCCACCCTGGCCGTGCCTCGGTTTCCTCTACTGTTAAGTGACTCAAAGCCCGAGCACAGCCTGCCCGGACGGGCACGCAGTCAGCCTAACTGAGCGGCAGGCGCGAAATGTTACGGTGGTGTTGGGGGGACTGCGCACCCTCACGTTCCCAGAACGGCCTGAGTTTTAGACTGAGTGACCTGGACACGTGGGAGCTGGGACTGTGGAGGGAGATGCTGCCTCTGGCTGCTTCCTCTTTTTTGCCTCCCGAGCTCAGGCTTGCTCGGGGCTGGCAGAGTCGCGGGCTTCCACCGGTGCTGCCGGGACCCGCCGGGGCCCACGGCCACGCCCTACGCTGGCAGCAGGACCCGGTCTCGGATTGCCTCCGTCTGGGCACCGAGTGGCTGTGTCTCAGGCTCGCCGTGGATGTCTCGGCATCCTTTGGACTTGGATGGGGGGGGAGTGAGAGGCACAGAAGATGCAGAAGAGATCAGGCTGAGTAGGTGTCGCTGCTCCGGGAATGGCTTCCCCGGGGTCTGAATCTCAGTGCTGTCCAATCCCTGAGCTGAGTGTGACCCCCAGCCCAGCGGGGAAGAGAGTGCCCGGCTGGGAGCTGGCCTGTCTGGGGGCGGAACATCCGGAGGCTAACTGGGGGGCCCCGCACACTGATGTAGTAGTTAAGCGGCTCAGCGTTGGGGCTGGTTGCCTGGGTCTCGTTCCCTGATACCGAGCTCTTGCTCTTAAGAGACCTCGGGCAAGCCGTCCCCGCAGCCTCAGTGTCCCCAGCTGTGAAATGGGGGCAGGGGTAGCATCTGCCTTGTGGGTGTTGTGCAGAGAAGCTGCCCCTAGCAACACTGGGCGCACCGCGACCAGGCGGGAGGCGTGTGCCCGCCGCCGTGCCAGCTGCTGTGGATGGCGGGCACGGGTACTGGCGTCGCCTCCGCCCCTGCGGCCTCGGGCTTGCGAGCGGCGGAGCTGGGGGGCGGGCGGCGTGAGTGGGCCTGACGCGCCTGTGCCGCCCTGTTTGGCAGGCCTACGCTGACTACATCGGCTTCATCCTCACTCTCAATGAAGGCGTGAAGGGGAAGAAGCTGACCTTCGAGTACAAAGTCTCTGAGGTAGGTGAGGGGGCAGGGAGCCCCCACCAGTCCTGTGTACTCATTGGCCAGCCAGGCTGGGGCAGAAGCCAGCGCCCGGCCACCGGCCAGCGACAGCTCCGCGCCTGCATTTCTCATCCTTTAAAAACTGCGGCGAGGCCGAGGTTTGTGACATTGGGTCAGGGTAAGGATGCCACTTTATCCTGCGTTTCTACTAGTTGGTGCTTTATAAGCCTTCTTGACTTAAGAAACCCCCCAGAAGTCGCCGAGCTCCCCAAAGTGCGGCCACCCCGAGTTCCTCACACGCAGCGCCCAGGGCCAGCGGGAACAGCCTGGGCGTGGGGCTGCTCAGTGGCTGCCTTGGTGGGCCACCCCCTCGTGTGTTGGGCTGCCCCTGAGGGAGTTTGCTTGCAGCCCTCACGCTGCCCAGAGCCTGGCGAGCACAGGGGGCCTCCCGCGGGCTGCTGGAGTCGCCGCCCGACTGGGGCAGGGCGCGCCTCGGCCACTGTTGCAGAGAAAGTCTTCTGTGGACGGGACGCTGATGCCGCCGGCAGGGGTGCTCTTGCCGGCCCTTTGCTCGCCGGGGCCCCATCTCCTGGGGTTCAGTGCCAGCCTCCAGGAGCCCTTGGGGCCCTGTCTCAGGTGGCCCAGAACTGCCCTGCGCTCCTTGTCCCGGGTGCCAGGCCTGAGCGGCAGCCGCTGTCAGTCCCTCGGCCTGCTGGCCGCGGCCTGGCCCCGTCCCCGCCTCAGACGAGCACAGCCCTCAGCCCAGACTGCCTGTGGTGCTCTGACCCAGAGCTGGTGGCTGGGCCGCGGTTGAGAGGAGCCAGGCCTGTCCTAGAAACAGCCTTCCCCTGGGAGCTCGCCACTTACTGCCCTCGGGCCTGCCCAGCACCCTGGGACTGTGGCTCTTGGCAGCGAGAGAGGGCAGTGGGTGGGGGACACCCAGGGGTGTCGTAATAGCTCAGCAGATCCCGAGCTGCCGATTCCCTCTCAGGGCCTGGTCCCCAGGTGCCGACAGAGGTGTCCACATCAGCAGGTGTGTCAGCTCGGCGGCTTTCTCTTGGCAGCGTGGCCACTGAAATCAGGTTGCTGGGTTTGGATAACCTTTTGCACAGAGGCCTTGCTCCTGTGACCCTTTCCTGCTCGTTGGTGGAGCCAAGAGCCAGCCGCAGCCGACCTCTCCCGCCGGGGACCAGTGCTCCCTTGCGGACGGTGTTAGCCTGGAAGACGGCGCCCACTAGACGTCATCAGCCTCCCCCCACTTCTAATTTCTGGTGGCTGTGGTATTTTAGTGGCGGCTCTTCCCGAGCTGGGGTTCATCCTAGAGCCAGGGCAGCGGCTGCAGGCGTGGCTAGTTTGGTCTGTAGAGACGTCCCAGCTTCTGTCCATAGCTGGTGGGGGCAGCAGAAAGTACAGCTTAGCTCGTGGCCCCAGTTCACAAAGGGGGCTCCCCTCTGTCGCAGGGGTGTGGTCCCTGCCCCTCCTGTGGGGATGGCAGCCGCCGGCAGGCAGAGGGCCAGGGCCTGGGCGGCAGCTTGCAGGCCCACAGCAGAGGCACCAGCCAGGGCAACGTCCTGAGACTGTCTGGACCCGTGTTGAGAAGGTTCTCTTTCATTTTGAGATTCTCTCCGTCTGTCTTTGGGATTCAGATTTTTGATTTGTGCAAAATAAAGGTTATAGTAGACAGAAAGTTTATTTTTTGTTTTGTGTTTGATTTTTTTTTATGGGGGCAAAATAAAGAACTGGGGCCCTCCCTGATGGCGCAGAGGTTAAGTCTCAGTGCTAGGAAGCTGTCTGCAGCCAGGGAGGGACCCCAGGGCGCAGCAGACCTCCTGTCTCCCTGCTGCTCCCCTCAGCAGTATATTCAGTCAATCTGCCTGTTCTGCTCCCCACTCTGTCTCTGGGGAGTCCTCTCAACTCCCCACACCCTGCTTATACCCCAGCTCTTATATGCATAAATAATAAATTAACTTTTAAAAAATTGGGAAGTAAAATTTTGTTGGTCCACTTACCAGGGGGGCGCTCGTGCCCAGCCCAGGTCTCGGGGCCCTCCCCAGGCTGTTCCTGCTGGCCCTGGGTGCTGGGTGTGGGGAACTCGGGGGAGGCAGCACTTTGGGGAGCTCGGCGACTTCTTCTGGGGGGTTTCTTAGGTTAAAAATCCAAAAAGGAAGTGTCTGGTGCAGGGAGAAAGAACAGCTCAAGCCTCCTTGCTTCTTAGAGGTCTGGCTGCGGCCCACAGGCTCCCTCCAACCCTGACCACACAGACAGTAGAGGCAGCCCCTGGTTCAGAAGCCCTTCTCTAGAAAGAGGAACTGGGAGCCTTTTAATTATTTATTGGCCCCGCTGAGCCAGAAGCTGGGGCCTGTCTCCTGCTGGCCTCCAGCATGTTCTTTATCCCTCAGTGCCTCGCTGCTGCCAGACTGGAGCCAGGGGATGCGCCTCGCTGCTGTGTCCCGGGGCTGAGCTTACAGCGCTAACCCTCCTAAGCCCCAGTCAGTGCTCGGGGTCATGTGTGTGCTTACCCTGGACCTGGGGACTGGCTCTGGGTCACGTCAGCAAGGCAGCTTTATCATGGTGTCCCTTGGCCTCCGTCAGGTGTCTGGGCAGTTTTCTCTTCTTCCAGGTAACCTTGCTTCTCTGCCCTGCCCCGCATTTGGGAGAGGGGCGGGAGGGCAGGACGCTTTCCAGACGCTGGCACTTGCCCATGCCGGGGGCTGCATTTACCTGTGACCTGTGGCGGGAGCCCCAGCCCCTAGCACGCCCTCGGCCGGCCTTTCTTCTAACCTTCAATGGCCCCCCCGGAGAGCTCCCACCGGAGCCAGGAGTCCCTGGTCTGCAGGCCCCTGTTGGCCAGTAGACAGAGGCAAGACTTACGTCTCTGCAGGGTCCTCCTCCCAGGACCCGCCGGGTGCCCCACTCACCTCCGTCCGTGCCCCTGAAAGTCGAGCCCCACCCACCTGTGTGTCACCTCGGCCACCTTCTCTGATGTCATTGAATAACAGCCGCTGTGCTGATGCCGCCTCTGCACCTGGCCCCCGTGGGAGGGCTGTGGGGAGACGGACTCCCCAGCACTGCCTTGCGTGCCCCTCCCAGCCTGGCACATTTGTCCTTCGACCCAGCAGCTCCAGAGGGCGAGTGGCCAGATTGTCCGTCACAGTGCTGCCCGCGGACGTGAGCAGCCGGAAGTGCCAAGCACTGCTAGTGAGGGCGATGCCTGTCGTGGGCGCAGCAAACAGCACTCACTCCCTAAAGGCTGGCGTGAGGGTCTGTGGGGGCTGAAGTGGGGTGCGCTTACGGGAGGCAGAGTGAGCTGCGAGGCTGCGTGCCCTGTGGTCCCTGCCGAGGGTCAGTATGCGAGTGCCGTCGCTGGTGACCAGTGAGTCCTTGGCACGGCGTCTGCGGGTGGTTAGCCTCGTGCCCGTTTGGGAGGTGAAGAAGCAGACTCGGAGAGTCAGGGTCATCACCTCGACGTCTTGCGGGGGCCGAGGGCCTTTTTCTCTGGGATTGGAGTCCTGGTTCAGCCGCCTCCCGAGCGCTCACCTGCTCAGCAACGCCGGACGCGGAAGGGGCAGAGTTGAAGAGTTGTTAGCCTGCGGATGGTGTTTATTTCGGGGCGGTGGGATTGCCAGCTATTCTTGCTTTTCTCCTTTTACTTTCTGTTTTCTGTAATGAGTGGTGTCATGCACCTAGCAATAAAATCTGATGGAGCCCAGGGCTGGAGTTGGGGCTTGGCCGCCTGCAGCTGCCCCGCAGTGGGCTGGATCACCTGTCCCTTTGCTGCATGCTGGGCCTTTCTCTAGAGCCTGCTGGGCTTCCTGCCTCGCCCTTCAGTTGGTTGGCAAGGGAGACAGCAAGGAGGGCCCAGTTGGCGCCAGGCCTCGTGCTCAGTGTCTGGCAGCAGTTAGGGTGTCCCTCTGGCTCCAGTGTGGGGTCCTTGGCATTGTAACTTGGCCCCTCTGTTTTGCCCCCACAGGCCATTGAGAAACTGGTCACTCTTCTCAACACGCTGGACAGGTGGATTGACGAGACGCCTCCAGCGGACCAGCCCTCTCGCTTTGGGAACAAAGCCTATAGGACCTGGTATGCCAAACTCGACCAGGTGAGTCTACCACAGCACAGGCTTGGGGCCTGGACAGTAGAGGGAGGGGGAGCGCTCAGGCTTTACAGAATTACTGGAGCGTGTGTTAGAGGGCCGTTCCACTTATGAAGTGTACACTGTGAGCGTGTTGGCTTCTGCACAGGGCCGTTTCTTAGGCCATTGTTTGTATTGGTGAAAGACAAACATTCTTCTAAGTGTCCTCCTGCAGGGGATGCGTTGGATCAGTTGGTATGTGCTTGGCCGCCTGGAGTACTATGTAGCAGTAGAAAAGAATAAGGGACTAGGAGAAAGGGAGCCTATGGTTGATGGTTAGGAGAAAGCTAGATTATGAGACATAAGACCTGGCATGAGACCTTGTGGTAAGAAAGGTAAAAGTGAGATTTCTTACTGCTCAGTTTCTGTATAGAATTGTACTGCAAGGCTGCCTGAGAGGTTAACAGGCTGCTGTTTCTTTCTGGGGGCAGGGCAGAGTGGGCTGGAGAGAGACTTGTCAATACAGTCCTTTTTAAACATGCTTTTTCCCCCAAGATTTATTTATTTGTGCATGCAGAACTGGGGTTCAGGCCAGAGGTGCGGCGGTGGTGAGAGAATTCACTAGAGACAGAGCGGGGAGCAGAACAGGCAGATTGACGAAGTACACTGCTGAGGGGAGCAGTGGGCGAGGTCTGCTGTCCTGTGGGTCACTCCCTGGTGGGGATCGAACTCATGCTGAAGCGGCTGTAGCCAGTTTCGTAATGCTGCGCTTCACCCCATTGTGCCACCAGGGAGGGCCCTAACATACTTATTTTTGAATCATATGAAGGTGATACTGTCCAACGTAAACAAAAAGTAAAGAGAATGAAAATGCAGATTTCTGACCCCATTTTTAGAAAAACAGGGTCTGTGGGTCTGGAAATTCAGGTTTTCACCAGGTTACCAGGAGATTCCCAGGCCAGGTGTTCATAGATTGAACTTAGAGAAACTTGGATCCTATTTCCCGTGGCTCAGTGTCTTCACAAGGAGTGGCGTGGAGGGGAGCCCCAGGGACCCAGCACAGTGCTCTCCAGCCAAGGGCTGCCTGGGACTTGATGATGATACACTGTCTGGTTCTTTTAAAGATTTTTCTGGTCTTATAACTTAAAAAGAAAGCTAGCTGTAGATCTTAATGCTACAGGACAGCAAGGGGCACCAAGCCTGGCCGAGAACACTGCCCAAACAGTTTACCAGTTACTGTGTGTGTTCTCTGCCCGCACGCACAATTGCAAAACTACTCAGACTCATGGAACAACAACAATGGGATTTATTTACAAGTGAGGGAAAGACAAAAGTTACTGAGGCCAAAAATGGCTGTTCACTTCGTCTGAATCAATGTCCAGTGTTTTTCAGTCCTAAACAAAAGCAGCTAAGATGGCGTCTTCCCACCATGGAGGTCAGAGAGCTCCTGCCCAAACAATAGGCCCATGTCCAAGATGGCATCTTCCAGCCTCTGCCCACCTAAAACACGGCAGCCAGACTCCAGGCCAGCTCCAACTCGAGGAGACAATAAAAGACATGACAGGAGATGCTTCTAGAGCTGCCAGTATTCTCCAGCGCAGCACGAGACAAGAGACAGTCAACATCGCAGCTACAGCGTCTGAATGACCCAACCAGCCGCCGCACACACAGCTCAGCAAGGTGCCTCGCTCTGGCCTTCGGCTTCTCTGCTGGTCTGTAACAGCAGCAAAAACAGGAACAGTTTCAGTCACTCGACTAATTGCAAAGAACTTTCCTTCTTTGAGGTTGGCTGTAGGAGACCCCCACTTCAGGGGCCCACGACAGCTTTCTGGAAGATCAGGGCGGTGGGGGCGGAATGCCAACCCCAAATGCTGAAGACCCGAAAACGCTGAATTCCGAAGACTGAATGGATCCGTGCCCCCTTCTGCTGTGTCCCTATCGGTGGTCTCACCCCCACATGTGACACTTTTTAGCATTTTCCCGGGGCTGTGTTTCCTTACCGCAGTCCCCTCCAGGGGGCACCACCTGTAACAGTCTTGGCTTTAGCCACGGTCTGGTTCCATTCCCTAGCTTCATCCTCCCCCTCCAGTCCCAGCAAGCCCCGACGCAGGCCCAGCACCCCAGCAGGGCCTTCACGCCCCCTCCTAGTTGACATCCCCTAAACGCTTCCCCACAGATGGATGCTGCCTGTCTCTGAACTCCATGCCCACGGCTGACGGCCTTGGCAGTGCCGCGGAGGTGGGCCGCCAGGCTGCGTGCCCCGCGGTCTGACACTGCTGCGCAGTGCCCGCTGCGGGAACATCACAGTTTCCCTTCCACCCTCGATGGCCTTATCCACGTGGGTGCGTCCCACGCTGCCACTGAAGCGCGTTCTGTGCGTGCCGCATCGTGTGGACTCCTGGCGGTGCTCCCTTGGCGGGCCTGCGTCTGGGACGGACAGTTGTCCCGCTGGGGACAAGGAGAGTTACGCATGGGGGAGGCGAATGACTTCTCAGATCCTACTCAGCTTGTTGCCACACTCTTGTACCCTGGGGGAAAGGTTAGCAAGTCAGAAGTCACCCCGGGCAGTGGCTGTTGTGCAGGAGACAATCCTGCGCCTCGGTGGGTTGAGTGGGAGCCCCGCCCAGCTGGCAGGGCGGTGGCCGGGCAAATGTTGCCCCTCCGGGGTGCTGCCTGATCTGCTGCCGTCAACTTGTGTCTCTTATGCTACCAGGAAGCCGAGGGCTTGGTGGCCACAGTGGTGCCCGCCCACCTGGCGGCTGCCGTGCCCGAGGTGGCGGTCTACCTGAAGGAGTCGGTGGGGAACTCCACGCGCATCGACTACGGCACAGGTACCACCGCTCCGGGGCCTGCAGCGGGCCTCTCCTTGTCCCTTCCCAGGGTTTGGGCCCAGTGAGCAAGTCGCCTGTGGGCGAGCAGCAGGGTGCAGGCGGCCTGGTGCTGCTCCTGCAGCTCTGGCCTGGCCCACCAGGGGGAGCTGTCGCCTCACACTGGCGCCTGTGTGCCCGAGCGGACTTTGGCCTGGTGTGTGAAGATGGTCTCTGAGCTCACCAGCACCACGCGACAATAGTTTATTGAACGCGGACTACACCCAAGGCGACTGCTCACAGCCTTGAGAAATGCAGGAGCTCGCAGCCTCCATCAGTGATGTGGGCTGCCCTTTAGCTTAGCCACACTCTGCGCCGCGCTCTCAGGTGAGGGTGTGTGAGGTTGTCCTGTAAGCTTTAGCCGGCGGAGGCCAGAGCTGCCCTCCCCTGCCTGGGCTCTCGAGGAGCCTGGGCCAGAGTAGGCCCGGAGAAGGCAGGCACATAGCAGGCAGTGGGGACGTTTTTTTCTCTGCTCCCCTGGGGGACGCAGATCATGCAGTTTGAGATTTTTTTAGGGGTGAATCTTTTTTTTAAGGTTCTTATTTATTTATGCACGTGAGAACTGGAGTGTAGGCCAGAGGTGTGGGGGTGTGAGAGGATTTTCCAGAGACAGAGTGGGGAGCAGAACAGATAGATCCATTGAAATCCACTGCTGAGGGGAGCAGCAGGGAGACCGGAGAGGTCTGCCGCGCCCTGGGGGTCCCTCCCTGGCTGGGATTGAACTCTGGCTGCAGTGGCTGCCATTAGCTTGATAGTGCTGAGACTTAACCCCTGCGCCACCAGGAATGCCCCCAGGGGTGGGTCTTTAACTGAGACCAGTGGGGAAGAGCCCTGGCAGGGAGACGCTGGGTGAGCGGGTGGGAGGAGCCCCCAAGGACAGCCTGCTGGTCAGGAGGCTGCGGGTGAAGTGATAGCCCAGAGCCCTCAGCTGGGAGGTTCTTCTAGCTCCAGGGTCAGACGGGGCAGGGCAAGGAGCCACTGAGCGACTCTCCTCACCTCCCTCCACGTACGTTCTTCCCAACACCCGCCCTTGGCGTTCAGTCCAGAGCCAGCGTCTCTGCTGCCCACCGCCCCTGCCTGCCGTGACTGGGCAGGGAGTGGCTGCTTCTGAGGCGATGACAAGGCCACACTTGGAAGCCCCAGGGGCTCCTCTTGCTCTGAGGACACAGCCTGAGCTCTTAACCCCGGCTCTTCTGGCCTGTCTGATCGGCCGCCTCAGCTCATTCCATTTTCTCGCTCCTCCTGCTGTCCCGCAACAGCCTTCTTAGGCTTCTAACCCAGCCTCGCGCCTCAGGGCTTCGTGCCGGCTGCTCTGGCTGGAGTGCTCTTGCCTCCCTCCCCTGTGCGGGGCCACCCGTGCGCCTCTTCCAGAGCTCAGTTAGTATCACCTCTCTAGGGAAACCTTCCCGAACCCCGTGCCCGGCGATAGTGCCCCCCTCTGTCGCGGTGGTCTAGCTCCCGTCTGTCCCTCTGGCGGCCACAGGCTGCACTGGCAGGCGGGGCTCGCTGCCACGTGACTCGCGCTTGGCGGTGGCCCACGCGTGCTCAGTGAGGGGCTCGGACCCCAGGCGGCCCAGGCCTGAGGCGTGCAGTGGCTGCCTGCCGGAGGCGGCCTGGGCCTCTGCGGGAGGAGAGCGCCACGGGGCCCTCGCTCCTTGGAGGGAGAGCTGCCAGCGAGACGCCCTTTTTCTGGAAAACTGGGTTCAGCTGCTTTTTCTCCCCCAGGACATGAAGCAGCCTTTGCTGCTTTCCTCTGTTGTCTCTGCAAGATTGGGGTGCTCCGGGTGGATGACCAAATAGCTATAGTCTTCAAGGTGTTCAACCGGTGAGTGAGGGGCCGTTGAGGCGGGAGGACGGCACGCTCACCCTGCAGGCCCGCGGGCTGCCCAGGAGTCTGCTCGGGGTCAGGCACAGACAGGGGCGCCGGCGGCTGCGGCTCCCGCGCTGGCTGGGGGCGTCGCCGGGGCTCTGCACCCACCTTGGTTCATGCTCTCGTGGCCCCAGCACAGGGCCCTCTCCCTTCCCTTCTCTCGAGGGGGAGACTGAGGCGCAGGGAAATCGGGTTTCGCAGCGAGGTTGCACAGGCAGCTGCGCTCAGGCGGGCCCGGCGGGCCACCCTGCCCGCCCTCCCTTCCCCCGCACCCCAGCAGTGCAGGTGCTGGCCCAGAGCTCACTCTGGGGCGCTCTTGGTGTCGGGGCCCCAGCGTGATGTTGCTGTGGCCCCTGATAACGCAGAAGGGTGAGCCTGAAGGACCCCTGGAGCTGATTCACTTCGACTCCCCACTGCCTGCTGAGGAAGCTGCCCAGGGCCTTTGGCTGGGCGCGTGGGTGTGGAGAGAAAGTGAAGCTCTCTTCTGTCGCTGGTGCCAGCGGTGCCCTGCACATGCGCTTCGTGGGAAGCAGACCAGCTGCCTCCGCTCCAGCCCTTGCCCGGCGCCCTCGGCAGGGACATTGAGAGGGTCTTGCTCCTCCCCCGCAGGTACCTGGAGGTCATGCGGAAACTCCAGAAAACATACAGGATGGAGCCAGCCGGCAGCCAGGGCGTGTGGGGCCTGGATGACTTCCAGTTTCTGCCCTTCATCTGGGGCAGCTCGCAGCTGATAGGTACTGGACGGGGCGCCTCGACCCCCAGTGCGTGCTCTGCCCCTCCCCGGCCCCGCCTCCCCTCCTTCCTTCTCCCCCTGCTCTGGGCAGGCGCCACAGCTTGTAAAGCAGGCTTTGGGTGCTGACAGTTGACAGGGCTGTTGGCTGTCGACCTTCTGCTGCGCCCAGGGTGGAGGGCTGGGGGAGCTAGTGGAGGTGACCGGCTGGAAGCTGGGGGGTCATGTTGCAAATGGGAGACTCTTGACTCGTGACCTGCAGGTGTGGTGGAGCTGTGTGCAGGGGGACGGGGCTTGTTCCCTGGGGCCCCTCTGGTGGCTCCCCAGCTTTGAAGCTGTTTTCCAGCCCTGGCCCATTGGAATCCACCAGGGGATGAGGCGGGGAGAAAATCTCTGGACATGGGCTGAACCGCCACCACATGGTGTTCGCCTGCGCCCCGCTCCGCACAGCCAGGCCGCCCAAGAGGGGCCTCCCTCGCTGCCAGGCTGCCTGCCGAGGGCTTCCCCGTCATGCCTGTCGGGTATTTGAGCCGAAGTCATTGTTTTGACTTCTTATTTGTCGTGGGGGGGGGGGGGGGGCAGGAGCCGTGTCGGCAGTTTCTGTCCTCACTGCACAGAGGAGGAAACTGCGCCTCAGAGGGCTGAAGTCACTGGTTCTGGGTCACACAGAGGCTGCGCACTTGACACTAGAAGATATCGCAGCCTCTTACTGCCCCGTGAGGTCGTGTTGGCGTGGGCAGGTCTGTGACCCTGCGGGGGAGTGTGGGCCATTGAGCTGGGTAGCGAGCGCCTGGGCTGAGCCCCAGGGCTCTGCTGTCCCCAGACCATCCGCATCTGGAGCCCAGACACTTCGTGGACGAGAAGGCCGTGAATGAGAACCACAAGGACTACATGTTTCTGGAGTGCATCCTGTTCATCACGGAGGTGAGTGAGGGGCGCAGGGGGGCGGGGTCCTTGGGCTGAGCTGAACTGAGGCTGCGGCTGGGGAGTGCACAGAGGAGCCCGCCCTGCCGATGGCAGGCTGACCCCGGGAGGTGGGGTCTGGGGCAGGAAGGCCACTGAAAGGCTGAGCCAGCCTCGGGCATCTCCCCCCAATGAGTGGTGTGCGTTTCTGTCGACCCCCAGGCGACTCTTGAGTTGGGGGGCTGGACTTGGTGGCACGACAGCAGGCTCGAAGGGCGGCTGGTTTGGAAACAGGTCTGTGCAGCCAGGTGCACGTTGCTGGGGACAGTGGCAGGTGGGGAGACCAGACGCACAGCCGCGGGGAGTCTGCTGAAGACTTGTCTCTGTCAGGGCCCAGTGAAGCGCTGACGGCGAGACCTGCAGACCCAGGCCCAGCCTACCTAGCGGGGTCACTAGTCTGGGCCCCGGCCTCCTGCCCAGGCTGGGTCTCCCAGCATGCCCATGGACATTTCCATGGGGTCACCTGGGGAGCTTGCTCAGATGCGGTCTCTGTGCCCAGTTTTCTGAGTCAAAAAGCCGGGGACATAAGAACCAGCAACCTGTATTTAAATACACTTGCCAGGGGACTGCACACAAAAGTTGGGGGCCTACTGCTCCCAGGGTCTCTTTTTTTTGGGAGGTGTCAGGACCTTTCAGTCACCCTGCCCCACACCGTTCTCCCCAAACCCCAACCGGCTCCCGGTGTCCAGGTTCCTAGGGACACCCTGGTCCTGTGTTCTGGAGAGCGCCTTGCCCTGCTCTGTTCCTGGTGCCCTGCTGGCCCCATGATGTCCTTGGCACCTGTGGGCCCTGACCCAGGCTGCTCTCTGAGCCCCCGAAGGCTGTGAGAGGAGAGGGTGAAGCAGCTGTAGCTCTGGCTCCCCCTGGCTCCCCCTGGCTCCCTCTGGCTCCACTCAGGCTGCAGCCAGACTCCAAAGGCCAGAGGGGAATGACGCGTCTTTCCAAGGCAGCAGATGGAGCAGGCTGACGGGGCGGCAGCGGGGCCTTGGGAGAATGCTGCCTTCAGCAGTGCAGCTGCCCGAGGTCGGGGGAGACCCGGGCAGCCTGGCGCTGCCTGGAGGACTTGCGCTCCAGGGCAGATCACAAGGGCCTGCCATGTTCTGGGAGGCCCCGGGAGGAGCATGTTGAGTGGGGCCTCGCTGGTGGGGTGGGGGGGGAGGTGAAGCTGTTCTGGCTCTCTGTGGCTACCAAGCCCCAGGGTGCCGGCACTGAGGAACTAAGGAGGAAAGGCTGCTCTGGCCTTGGGACTCTGAGAGTTGATTCCAGGTTAACCCTTTGTATTTTTGTTCCTTTGGTTGACTAGTTGCCATGAAATCCCCAAAAGCTCTCCCAGAGTCTGGGACCCACTTCCTCTGCTATGGGAATTCCAACAGTGGCCGCTAGGTGGCGCTAATGTACCACCGGAGTTGGAGGTTTTCGCCCATTTCAGGGAAGAGGCGTGAACCGGAGGAGGTCAGGCCCCTGAGTTTTGGCTCGATCTGAATCTTCTCTGCAAGCCCTGGCTTCCACTTTGGGTCTAGCAACTGGCGTGGTGGTAAACACTGGACTCTGGCACCGTGTATTCCAGAGCGGAGGTGACTGGGGGGCAGGCCCCCTTTCACCTACCTGGCCAGGCCTGGACCCCTGGGCATGGCTGCTGATGGCAGCAGCCCGCAGCCCCTCAGAGCCCTGCCGGGCTGCCTCTTTCCCAGCCCCTCTGCTGTGCAGGGCTCCCCAGGCTGGCGAGTGACACCAGACTCAGCTTGGCAAAGGGAGGCTGAAGGCCTGACACAGAGCACGGGCCTGGCCTGAGAGGGAGGGGCAGTGTTGTCTGGGAAGCTGTGCAGGATCATGGTGGCCACTGCAACTGGAGATTAAATGGAGCAAGCTGGAAAGGGGACCTGCTAGGACCTCCCCTCGCTGGCCCTGGCACCCCAGGCCTGGGGCCACCTCAAAAGGCTACTTGGCCTCAGGAAATGCAGCCTCGGCGCCTTTAAGAGACCTGGGCAGGCAGGAAAAGAATTTCAGTTTCAATCTGGCTTCTAAATTTGGAGTTTTGGGAAGGGAGGGATCAGATTTCAGCTGGAAGGGAAGGAGCTGACAGGAAGGCGCTGTGCAGAGCCTCCCCCACCCCCCCACCCCCACCCCATCCCCCTCAGTTACTGACAGAGGAACCATTTACAAAAGGCCGATTCTCTGGGGAGTGGAGAGGCAGGAACGCAGCGTCTGTGAGTAATTTCCTGCTCAATATGGCTGCTCTGACTCACGATTCCCCTGGGGTCACTGCGGGACTGCAGCCTGCTTGCTCGTTCTCGCTCTTTCTCTTCTCCCTTTGTGGCTAGAATGAGCTAATTTTTTTTTGTCTTCTCGCCTCCGATTCCTTTTTCCCCCTCTTCTGTTTTCCTTCCCCAGAGTTGCCAAGTCTCCTGAAGGACTTGGGGAGACCTTGGGATCCTGGCGCTTGGGGCTGGGGTTGGGGCCACCACACTGGAGAAATAGTCCCTCTGGCCTTTCCTTGAGGGCCCCAGGGGGTGCGGAGCAGTGGGCCGGAGAGGCCCTTTGGGCCCCACCTCCCATGGGGAAGGAGGCAGAGCCCTGGGCTCCCGGTGCCAGGCCCGGCTAGGCCGAGGAGCCCTTGTGAAGAGGCCTTTGAGCTGCTGTGGGACGGGGCCTGCAGGTGCCTCCCGGGCCGTTTGTTCCAGGGGCCTCCAGAATGAGGCACTAGCCGCCCCAGCAGCTCAGGGCCCTGTCGCCTGGACAGGAGAGGCCCGCATCCCCTAGGGGCGGGGCGGCTGGGCAAGGGGCGGGGCGCTGGGGGTGGAGCCTCGTGGGCGGGATGCCGGACTGAAAGGCCCGGGCAGGTCGCTGCTCTCCTGGAGGAGGGGAGGACCCTGCTGAGGGTCCAGGCCCAGGAGGGCCCTGTGGGGCAGGCGGGGGTTTATCTCGGCCGCCCCCCTTGAGCTGTGGCCTTACTGCTGGAGGAAGGAGCCTGTGTCTATGCTACCAAACAGGGGGTGAGACAGGACCTGGGCCAGAAGAGGAAGATGACAGGGGTAAAATGGCAGGTTTTTGACTAAAATCTCAGTTTTGTAAGAGTTACCCTCCTTGGAGAAGTGAGAGGCCTTCAGGGAAGGGGTCCGGCTGAGTTACAGGCCCATTCCTGGGATGTCCCAATTTTTAATAGATATTTTTTTATGCAAGAACTGGGGTACAGGCCAGAGGTGGGGGGTGGTGAGAGAATGCAGCAGAGACAGAGTGGGGAGCAGAACAGGCAGATCTACTGAAACACACTGCTGAGGGGAGCAGCGGGCGGGTGGGTCAGGAGTCTACTGTGCCATGTGGGTCACTCCCTGGCTGGGGATCATCGAACTTGGGAGCTCCCTAGCTCGGAGGGCCCGGGGATGTCCCATTTGGAGAGAGAGCTTTGGGCTCTGCCTCTACCCAGCCTCTTCTGGAAGCTTCTGCCCACTTAGGGTCCACGTCTGCTTCCTCGCCAGCTCAGGCTCTGCTCTTCAGATTTCTGAAGCCTGGGACTCAGGATGCTGAACCCCAGTCTCCCAGCCAGTAGAGCACCCAGGCAGTGTTGAGGGGGCTGTAAGCTGCTTGTCAATAAAGACTAGTGCTGGCTTCGCGCAGTCTTGGGGTGCACACGGGCCGCTGTGGTTTCTGAAGTCGTGGGAACTTCACTGTGCTCGTTGCAGAATGTCCCGTCCTTGCCGGCGGGTCAGACTCGAGGCCAGCAGAGGGGACTGCGTGGCGCTGCCCTGCCTTCCGCACGCTGGGCTGGGGCGGCGCCTTTCTGACCCCCTGCTCCCCCGCCTCCTTCCCGCTCCTGGGTTGTGGCTTTCCAGGCTCTGCGCAGGTGCAGACCAAGTGCCAGGCAGAGCACCCGGTGGCTGTGGGGCTGGAGAGGTCGGGGTCCAGGCTGCCGCCCTCCATCCGAATGCTGGGTGGCCCCCTATTGGCAGGGCTCACTGAGGCTGCAGGGAGCTGGTGGGTGCTGCACCCCAAGTTTGGGTGGAGGTTTTATTTCCCAGAGGCTGCTGGATTTGGTTGGCACTGGGCATCGAGCCTCTTGACTGGAAGAGTGAGGGTGATTCCGGGGGTTACAGTCTTGTGGGTCAAGAGGGACCCTGACTGAGCTGCGAGTGTGCCTGTACACCCCCACGGGCAGCCGCTCGGCTGGACCGGGCGCGTGCACACGTGCCAGACTGCCGCTCTTTTCCAGATGAAGACGGGCCCCTTTGCCGAGCACTCCAACCAGCTGTGGAACATCAGCGCCGTCCCGTCCTGGTCCAAAGTCAACCAGGGTCTCATCCGCATGTACAAGGCTGAGGTGAGCAGGCTGCTCCTCCACCCGCCCCCCTCACCCCCGCCACATTTGGATGGCAGAATCTGTCAGTGGCATGGACAGTCAAAGAGGACCGAGGCCCAGCTCTGCCCTGTGCCCAAGGCTAGGCCCTGCTGCTCGCCAGTCTCTGTCCCCACCTGTTGCACCTGGCCAGAAGCCCCTGACAGCCATCTCCTGTGAGGGCAGGAAGATGAGGCGTCCTTGGGGAAGTGTCTGCGCTTTGACATTATCCAAACCCTTGGGGCCTATGCATTGGTGGGTCTGATCAGCGGGCAGATGGAGGTGGTGGGGAGGTCGGGTGAGCACTTTCCGTGACAGGCGAGGTGCTGTTTCCCCCACTCTCCCTGCTGGGACATGGCCCTGGCTTCTGAGGGTGCCACTGCTTACCCGCTCCCCCATTGGCTTTCTCTGGTGCAGGTAGAGAGGAGACTTCCCCCCGCCCCCATTCCTCAGGTATCTCCATGGCTTAGGCAGAGCAGTCCTGAGACTGTCTGACCTTGGTCAGGTCCTGGTGCAGAGTCCCTCACCTCAGTGGCTGGATCCCCCAGGCTGACAGATCAGGCGTGTCACCAGCCCTACGAGTGCCCACTTCGTTGCAGCTGCCCTTTGGCATCTTCGGGCAGGAGGTTCTCTGAGGCTTTCTCCTTCCACCCAGATCTCCCCGGCTCCCCTCGCCAGGGGAAGGGGTGCTCAGCCTGCGTGGGGGAGCAGCAACTGCTGCCCTCTGCCTGGCCCAGAAGGGGTTAAAGCCTGGAACTAACAGCCTGACCCCAGGCTCCCTTCCGCCCCTCCCCCACGCAGTCCCTTCCTCTGGACTCCACATCCTGTGTTTAGCTTCCAGCCCACATACCTCTCTAATCTGAGAGGAGCCGGCTTCGCCTGCGGCCTCCTTCCGGCAGCCAGCCGGGCCCTGCACGAGGCTGGCTCTTCCCGCCCTCCAGGCGCCGGCTCGCTGCCCTGCGGCCCTGTGGTCCTGGTGCCCCACCCCTGCCAGTCCCACTCGGCTGATGGGGAGCTCTGTCCTCCCGTTGAGCGTCCCGGCTGGGGCTGTCTGCAGCCTGTGAGAGGTGGGCTGCACCCCCATCCTCCAGCCCCCACATGCAGGACTCTGGGCCTTTCTGAGTTTGGGGTGTAGCTGCTGTCCCTCCTCCGACTCCTCCAGAGAGACTCAGCTTGTCCTGGCTGGTCCCCGAGGGCAGAACAGGACCCTGCTCCCGCCCCCCACCTGCCCTTCCAGAGGCAAAAGAACTCCTGGCTGAGGGGATGAGGAACAGATTAAGATTCAGAATGGTGACTGCTCGGGTGGCAAGAACCCGCCAGGCCCGCGGGAGCAGCCCGGCCCGCATTCCTGCGGAGCTGAGCGGAGCCCTGCAGCCCCAGCAGCCCCAGCGCAACAAAGCGCCCTTCCTGCCTGGGAAATTCCGGCCTGCAGGCGCAGGCGCAGTGCGCACTTGCCCACTCCCGCAGTGCCAGGCCGAGCTCTTTGCAGGCGGGGCGGGGACATGCGCGTGGGCTAGGAGCAGCAGCTCGGGCCTCTGTCCTGGGCCTGGCGTCCCTGGGCTCCCCGTGCCCCGCCGGGGGCCGGGGACAGGCCTGCTGTGCCTGGCCAGCGCTCAGCCCACTGGCCACCTTGATGCCGAGTGGCCTGGAGTCTGGAATGGGGTCAGCTCAGGGGGGTCCCCCAGAGCTCCTGCTGGAGGGGCTTCTGCCCGGAGCTGCCCAGGCCTGCGTCCGGTGGCCTCAGGCGGCCAGCCCTCTCCTCCAGCTCTCTGTCTGTCCTGCCTTTCCTGCCCTGAGCACCAGCCACATGCTTTCTGAGCCTGTCTCCTGCAGGGTGGCAGTGCTCCCTTCAGCGGGGTTCGTCGGGCCGGGGCTTGTCACCGCACAAGGGGCCCTGGGCCTCCAGCTGGAAGGTCTGTGTGTTGGCGGGGAGGGCAGAGAAGGGTTCTGGGCACAGTTGGCTGGGAGGAAGGCCTGGCCAGAGCTCCCCTCTACTGAGGCCCCAGTCTTGGCCTTCCTGGCCCCCAGCTTCCCCTGTGGCTCTGGAAGCAGGGTCCCAGAACCACCCGCCCCTCCCCCTAAGCCTCTCTTCTCTGTGGCTTCTCATGAATGAGAGCTAGAAGTAGGTTGACCTCTGACTCTTTCTGGAATTCCAGGACCCTGGGGGCCCCCCCCCTTCAAACTCCCACCACTTCCTTCATGACATAAGCACAATGGCAGCTGCCTTTGCCTCTGGCCTGCATCTCTTCCTCCCCCCAAGGCCCCCCCACTGCAGCTCCCCACTTTCTCTGCCTGGACCCAGGAGTCTGGAGTTCTGTTCCCACACTGAGCTTTGCTCCCCGTCACACCGCACGGGAAGTCTCCTCTCTTCGCACGTCCTGGCTCTGGGCCCCCTACACGCGCAGCTGCGGGCCCTCCTTTCCGCTCCCAGCCACGGCGTGGGGCTCACCCTCCTGGAGGCCTTAAGTCTGCTTCGTGCTCAGCCTTTCTGGTAGTTTCTGTGGTTGAAGGCATGAGAGGAGCAGGCCCTCACAGACCCGGGCTGTTGCCGTGACTCGGGCCTGTGTGGTGGGCGCAGTGCGGTCCGTGCAGAAAGACTGGACGCAGCGTCTGGTCAGCGGCCTCTTGGGCCCAAACCCTGGGTGAGCCCTGCGGTGCTGGGTGTTGTCTCCTTTGGAAGTACCAGTTGCTGTGTTCAAAGCCGCGGGCTGAGAAGTGTGAAAGCCGCCCTGGTGCCTGCGGACGTTGTGCCCAAGTGCCCCCATGCCTCCTCTTCAGGGCTGGGGCCCGGTCTGGAGGGTTCTTTCGCCTCTGGGCCAAGACAGGTCCTGTGGCTGCTGGTCTTGGCTTCTGCCCGGGGGCACTGGCTTCACCCCCTCTCCCTCTTTCCCGGGTAGGTCTGGTCATTGTGGGTTGGGGGCTTTGGGTGGGAGGGGTGGCTAGGAAGGCCTGGGGGCCACTGGCATGAGACCGCTTGCTGGGCCAAGCTTCCGGACTGCTCTGGGGTCCCTTGCAGGCCTGAGAGGCCCAGCCAGCCTGGCTGGGTGCAGGCAGCCCTCACCTCACTGCTCTCCCTCCTTCCTTGCAGTGCCTGGAGAAGTTCCCAGTGATCCAGCACTTCAAGTTCGGCAGCCTGCTGCCCATCCACCCTGTCACCGCGTGCTAGGCCTGAGCAGCCAGCGCCCTCTGGCCCGGCCATCCTCGCTCCGGCCCGCCTCGCCCCTCCCTCTGTTCTTTATGTTTGATGAGAAGCTGTTTACTGGGGTGGGTGGTGAGCTTGGGGTGGGAGGCTGGGGCATAAGGCTGAGGGACCCAAAGTGGGGAGCAGTGACCAAGGTGTGGCCAGTTTCTGGGTTTCCCTGGGGGGACAGGTGAGAGGGCTGGAGGCTCCCTGGCCTGCTCCCGCCTGCCCCCTCCCTTGGGTTGCGAGGGCTGCTCCACGCGGTGGGGGTATGTGCGTGTCTCCTTCACCCACTCCCTTCCCTTCCTGGGGTGGGGCCCTTGTTCTTGCACCGGCTACTTCCCCAGACCCTGTCTGGGTGGCGGGCTGGCGTTCTGAGGCGGGTTGGGGCTCAGGTCACCCTGCCAGCCCCTCCCCCAGCCACCCTCCCATCAGCCCCCAATCCTGGCTTTTCTGACTTCATGGGGTTGATCTGGCCATAGCCACAGCCAGCTCCCTCCTGAGGTTGGCCCGGAGATGGCCGCAGGGTCGGCGCTGGGCCCTCTGGGTCTGGCAGGGCTGGCTCATGCACGCTAGGTGAGGCCTGCCTGACCAGAGTGTTCCTGGCCACGGGGTGCCAGAAGCTCGGCCGGGCTGGGGCTGGTTATGGGTGCACAGCGCCTGAATCCTCTGGCAGTCTCGCCCATGTCCAGTCCCTCAGGCAGGCTCAGAGGGTCAGAGGACAGCAGCAGCCCTCCCCCACCCCCGTCCTACATCTGAAGTCGCCGCAGATTTCTGGGCTGAGGTAGGGGCACCCCGAGCCCAGGCCTTGGCTCTGAGGGTGTTTTCCCCTCCAGGGGCGGGGGCGCGGCCATGCCTGTCCACCAGGTTCCTTCTAGAGTTGTTCTCCGAGGGCGGCCCTCCCGCCGAGCCCAGGCCTGCCTTCTGCTCCTGCCCGTGTCTGGGTGCACAAGCCCTCTGGCAAGGGAGAGACCGAGAAGCACAATGCAGAGGCTTGGCCCTCAGGGCCGGGGCAGGAGCCACCAGAGTCACAGCAGGGTTGGGGGTTGCTGGCGCCCGCCTCCCTCTCAGGGTCCAGAGTCTCCCTTGTGGCTCCCCATGCACCCCCAGCCCCAGCCCCTGCGCCTTCATTGCTGTCCCGATTAAAGCCTCTGTTTCGCTCCTGTCGCCGGCGAGGTGTCTTTGATGCCGCTTGCTGGCTCCGTCGCCTCTCGCCCGTCGGCCCCTCCCGTGGCGTGGTGTGGCGTGGAGTCGCGCCTGCACGCCTGTGCAGTCTCCACAGGGCTGGGCGGAGCCCCCACCCCGGGCTGCATGGAGGCACCTTGCTGACGCTGGGGGGGGGCACAGGCCGGGGTTCAGTTCTGTTTGTCTCCACACGCAGTGGCAAGGTCTCGGGTAAGTCGCTGGTTCTGTGTGAGGCCAGCTTCTTCCTCAAACCGGTCAGCACAAGGTGACCCCGAGGGTGGATGAGGACTCGGGTCCACAGCCAGGGCCTGGCGAGTGACCGTGGCCCTGTGGCTGTTGGGGAGTGAGGCCTGCGGTGCTGGCCAGCCAGGTGGAGCGCGCTGCCTCGGCTCGTGCCCCGCACGTGGGGGGTGGGCTCCAGGTCTCCCTGCACCCCTTGTTTCCGTCATGCTGTGGGGTGTCTGTGGGATTGCTGTGCCTGAGACGTCACTGGCTGGACTCCCTGCCCGGGCTCCTGTCCTCAGATCAGTGTCTGGGGAACAAGACTCACGGCCTTGCTCCTGACCTCGGATATTGGCACTGGGCATCGCGGAGCCTGGTGGCGAGGCCCTGGCCAGTCAGGCGACCCCAGTTCCACCCCCCGTGACCCGGCTTGCTGGGAGGTGGCGTGGGTGACGTCTCTGCCGAGCCTCAGCTTTCTGACCTGAAAGATGGACTGAAGCTGCAGCTTCACTCATTTTGCAAAGGGCGGTTGCCCGTTCCCCAACACGTGGTGACAGCACCCAGGCCGAGGCCAGGGGTGTGCACGGCGTGTGGAAGCAGCTGTAATTGGGGTGGTGGAGGGGAGGCCCCTGAGCTGAGGCAGGAGGAGCACAGGGCCCAGCAGACAGCGGCAGGGAACCCTCGGGAGGGCTGGCCCAGAGGCTAGGCCCCTGCCAGGCCGTGGGCCTGAGGGGTGGCGTTCAGCCTCGGTGCTCGGTGGGAAGCTGCTGGGGGCCTCTGCAGAGAAGAGGGTGGCGGGGGTCAAGAAGCCTGCGCAGGGGAGGCCTGGATCAGCCTGGGGGTTGGGGCGGGAAGTGGTTGATCTCCACTGTGCTTGGATATTGCCAGCAGTAGATGGGAGAGGGACATGAAGAGCCAGACACCCCAACTCCTGGCTCTTGCCACTTGGTGCCATTACCACAGCACAGACAGGGTGGGGCGTCAGGCTGGGGTGATGGAATGTAGAGCAGGCACCTGGACTGCCTTCGGAGGGGCCCTCGGGGTTGCTGAGTGGGGTCGGGGTGTTGGGCAAGCGAGGGGTCACCGAGGGGGGAACTGGGGTGGGAGCCCGTAAGGTCTGCGCCCTGGAGGAGGTGAGGACTTGCTGGGCCCGTGGCGTGGAGGGCACAGACTGGGCCCTGGTACCTTTGCTCTGCAGTGCTTCAGAGGGGTGCTGGGGGGCCAGGCTCCCCTGCAGAGGTGAGGCCCTGGGGGGGCAGTGCGCTGGTCTTCCCCCTACCTACCAGCCTCTGCCCCTTGGGGCCTTTCATGGTCAAGGGAGCAGAGGAGGAGGGTGGGGGCCCTGGAGGTCGGGAAGGCTTGGTCAGGGGGTCCGTAGCTTCTCCAGGGTCTGGACATGATGCAGGCCTGAGAGGACACTGCCGGGGGAGGACAGTGCCCGGGGGCCTTGAAGGGTCCCCTTATTTTTTTTACATTTTGAAAGGACGGGTTTATTAGGAAAGGGAGAGGGAGAGAGGCGCCCGTGTGGTCACAGGCGGCGATGAGAGCTGCCTGCCGGTCGCTCACGCTCACGGAGGCCTGGGGGGGGTGCTGTGGGATGGTCTGGAGGGCAGAGGGGCCCGAGGGGCCCGAGGGCGGGCAGGGCTCCCTGGCCTGCAGGGCCTGGGAATGCCATGCTGTGCCCCGTGGAGGGAGTGCCGGGGGTGCTGCTGTCTCCCCCAGGGGCCGAGTGCCCCGTGGGAACAGGAGAGGGCTGCCCCAGCTCTGGAGGGGCGCTAGTGCCAGCTTCCCACCGTCAGGAGCCAGGAGAACCCCTGGGGCGCTAGGCGTCCTCCCGGGCTGGCGGAGGCAGGGCTAGGCTTGAGGGGTGCCCCCAGGGTGGTGACGGCACCATAACTCCTGCTGCACACAGGGCTGGTGGGGGGGATTGCGGGGAGGGTGTGTAGTGAAAAAAAAAAGATGAGAACCCTGCCTTCCAGAAACTTCTGCCTCAGGGGGGGAAACGAGACTGCAGACCGGAGGTCAAGGAAGCCAGATGGACTTGGGCGGCCTGGAGAAAGGCTGGGAGGGTGGGGCCTGGCACCGTGGCATTCTTGGGGGGCGGGCAGCAGGGGGCAGAGCAGGAGAGGCAGCAGCCGACTCCCGCGTACCCCCAACACGCCCACAGCTGCCTGGCATCTGCACGCGGACGTGTGTGGTGTCGGCTCTGCTGGAAGATGTCCGCAGGCGGGCAGGGCCAGCCCGACGCTGTGCCCCAGGGCCAGTGGGGACTGGCAGGCGGCAGGCACCCAGCAGCGCTGCATCTGTGACCGGAAGGTGCCCGCTGGTGCCTCTGTGAGGGCCACCAGCTTGGGTGGGGCAGTGTGGGTGCTGGAGGGGATGAACAGAGGGGTGCTGAAGACGACGGGGTGGGGTGGGGGGGTGAGAGGCCTGGGGCTGGGGAGGGCGAGATCTGCTGGGGCAGGTGCTGCACTCGCAGGCCCTGCTGGGTGGGCACCTTGGACCTGCTGAGCCAGAGGCTGGCGGGCTGCCGAACCCAGACCCCGAGGGTGGGGAGCCTGGGCTGCTGGGTTTCAGGGGTTCCCCTTATTCCTGCCTGTGCCCCAGCCTCAGCCCCCTCTCCTGCCTTGCTCTCCGGCCACACTGTCCTGGCCCACTGACTCGGACTCCGGACTCCGGTCAGTGAGGGTTTGGCTTTCTTCCCAGAACCCTCTCCCACTGGGAACCCCGACACTCTTCAGGCTCGGCTGAGGCCTCACTCCCTCCCTGCAGGGTGGGGGGCCCGAGGGGTTCCATGGCTGAGCACTCAGCAGCCCCTGCCTGAGCCAAGATCTTCAAGGGGGGCCACCTAGCTGGAAGGTGGGGGTGGGAGGGGCTGTTTGCAGACAGGGCTTCTCTTTCCTCGGATTCCTGGGGGGCTAATGCCTGCCCCCACACTCAGCACACACTGTTGCTGCTCTCTGCCTGTCTCCTGTCTCCCGCTGTTTTCAGGAGGGGGGCCCCACTCGGCAGGTGCTCTGTGGAGTCGGCCCTCCCTGCGGGGGTGATGGAGGCACAGAGTGGGCTGCCTTGCCAGGAGAAGGGGGGCAAAAGGAACCGGGCACCCAGCCTGGAGGCAGGTAGGGAGAGGGGCAGGGAGACCCCGCTGAGGCCACCAGGGCACTGGCTCAGCGCTGGGCAGCGGGCTGGGGAGGGGGAGGAGGGCGGCCTGAGGCGAGGTCAAGGCCAAGGCGGGGGCAGCCCTGTCGGAGTGTGGCTGCCTTGTCAGGGACCCTGGGTCCCCCAGGGCAGGGGGAAGGCGAAGGGGGAGGGAGGCGCCCTGTGGCTTGGGCCACTCCTTCAGCAGCAGGGACTGGGTTGCCACAGTGACCAGACAGAGAGGCGCTCCCCTGAAGCTGTTCTAGCACATTCCATTCCTCCTGACCCCTGGGAGCTGCCCTCAGTGCTGGGGTTTGTTAGAGGCAGGCAGGGCACGTAATGGCCCCTCCTGGCCCCTCGGAAGGCATACTTACCTGTTCATTCTTCTAGAAAGATGCTTATGCGCCGTGGCCAAGGGAAGGCAGCATAATCGTGTCGGGAAAGCACAGCCCCGTTAAAAGCAGAAGTCTCCACTTGGTTCCGTCCAACACAGTCCTCGCGTGGACACTGACCCGGAGGGTGGCTTCTCCCTGGGTGGGGGCGTGCGGGTTCTTGGAGGACCTTCGTGCTTTTCCGGTTCCTGATAACGTGGCCATGAGCGTGTTAGATCTTGCTGGGCCACTGACTGCGGGTAAATTTTCACTTTGATTTTTTTTTAATATTTGATTTTTAAATCTGTGCACAATGCCCACGTGTTACTTGCAAGAGAGGGGGATGAACTGGCCGGAAGCCTTGTCCTAAAGGGCCCCCGCAGGAGGGGGGGGTGGGTCCTTGTCAGCAGGTGCTTTGGCTCAGAACCCCCCTGAAGTGGAGCCAGGCAGGTGGCCGGGGTGGTGCCTCGGCAGGTAGAACTGTTGGGAGCCAGTGATGAGGATCCCAGCGGCTGGGGCACATAAGAGGAGACCACGGGGGTCCCTCATGGAGCCCCAGGTGGGGATTACTGAAGCAAGCCAGTGCCTGGGGTGGGGGTGGGGCATCCACAGCCTCCTGGACTGGCCGTGACTGGGGGCACATGGATGGGAACCCCAGTCCCAGAGTTGAGTCCTGCCTGTGGCAGGGGTTGAGGGTGGTGGCGGTACAAACCATTGTTTCCTCCCGCAGATGCTTTAGCCTCCAGCTCAGTAACAGCCTGTGGTGGTCTCTGGGGAGAGAAGCATATGCCCTGGGGTCCTCACTCCCCAGGCCCAGGCTCTCTCAGGGACGCTGTCAGGCCCTCCATTCTGGCCCTAGCTGTAATCTCCTTTCTGTTCCAGCCTGAGGGCAGGCCTGTGGGGAGGCTGTTCCCAGGCTGGCCACAAGCAACTCACTCCGGGCCTCTGGGGCACACTCCACTCTGCCTGCTGCACCGGGTTCCACTCTGTGCTCTGGGAAGTTGGGTGCCATCGAATTCCTGTGGCTTTTCACTGAGGAAGGAACAGCCTGCTGTGCGACCTGACCTCTGGCCCCTTCTGCCCTCCCCACTCTCCCTGGACCTCAAAGTTTCCAAGCCCATTGCTGCTTGGACTGCCTGGGCCCCGGGGTAGGGCTGGCTGTCGAGGGTCACTTCAGGTGCCCCTCCGCCAAGGGGCACTCCCTGCTTGCTCTGAGTTGCTGCTAAGGGAGCCCCCACCCTGGCTGCTCCA